GTAACAGATACTAATTTGCCCCTTCTCCTTCTGTGTACTGTCCATCCCCCTTTTTATCCTTTTTCAGTTTATGTGAGTCTTGACATAGGGCACTTAACAAACCAAGTGGTCTTGCTTCTCCCCAGACACAGGGCACTCCGGTTTCTGAAAAAACTGGGCTGCAGAATTTAGTGCGGGTGTCTGCATACGGATTTTTTTTTAATAAACTTAATCCCAAATAAAGCTCATCCGAAGCTGTGGGCACTCAGAAATCACATTTAAAACCACAGGAGCACAGAAGAGACAGAACGCCAGCGATGCATCCCTTCTTCCCGCCCCGCTAGGCGAGCACCAGTCATGAGACTCACACAGCTTAAATCCCGTCGTTACACTTTCCCACCAGACAAATCCTGCTTTATTAAACTAAAGTGCAAGGGAATTAGCAAAACTGCCTGTTTCCTTCACACTATAGTGTATATAAGCAACCTAATCCATACGCCAAAGCTCCTACCGCTCTTGAAACCCCTCAGCTGGGAATTCCCATCAGCAGCTCGCGGTTTCCCTCCTGTCAGCTCGCAATTACCTTTCCCTTCTGGGGCACGGGAAGGAGAAAAACGCCTGGGCGCCTGCCAGAACGCATCCCTGCAGCTCTCCTTCCACGGCGTCTGGGTGACCCCCGCCTGAAGGAGAAATACACGGCCCGGGTGCTGGGTCAAGGAATTAGGCACCAGACTAATTAGTGCTCGGCTTTGATAGTTAAAAAGGCTCGTTTGGCTGACCTGACCAAATCTTTCGGTCCACCCCACCGCTGCTGGGGTCTGATCAGCTGCCCGGGGAGGAGGGGGATTCGGCTGATCAGACGGGGAGGGATCCCCGGTCCCGCTGCCTGACCTGCCCTTCACCCCCGCCTGGCAGGGGCAGCCCAAAACTCTGATGAAAGAGAAAGGAAGTGCGAGTCAGTGTGAAGACGGCGTTTCATTTACATGAGATAAGCGCCTTCATGTAGCAACTAGAAATCAAGGGTAATTGGCGTGGTTGGGAGACTGGTGTCTTTTGTTACACAAGGCGTAATGGGCCTCTTTGGAGGGAGCAGAAACCAGCGTTCCCTTGAGTGAATATTGCAGCCTGGAATAGCGATGTGCTACATCCTATTTCTCAGGAGGGAAGAAGGAAGGAAGGACACGTGAAAAGAAAAGTAGCAGTAAACGATCCCGCTTCATCATTTTTTTTCCTGTAACCCTTCTGGCCTTACAAACAGGAACTTCATTTTAAACTAAAAATAAAGCATGATGCCTATTTCACAGTTGCAGACGGGTGTTTCCAACTGCGCTGCTAGGTTTCAGCCCCTTTCTATATGCAGCCTGAGCAAGGCATGGTAGGAAAGTGCCTCGCTTTGCATTTGCTATATTTACATATCATCAGTTATCAGGAGAACAGGATGTCCCAGGGGATCTGAAATAGGATACGCTGCACTCTTCATCTCCTGGTCAGTTCAGCCACGGGCCAGGTCCCTGTGACTGATACTGTTTGCATGTCTGCCCGTGGCTCCGGTACCGCCGGCGGTGCCCAGGTGGGTGTTATCCATCCCCAGCCCGGCTGGCCCGCGGGCCGAGCTGCTCTGGCATCCGCAGCCTTCCTCCAGACCAAGTCTGACACGTGTGGCTGAGGCAGAGGAGAGCCGGGGGGGGCGGTGGAAATCTCCTATTCTGCTCTTTCTGCCACACCTTTTTTTGCAAGGGCAGAGGAGATTTATTCTGCCCTCAACAAAATCAGGTCTGTATTTTCTTCTACACTTTGTTTTTCGTACAAAATCCTCAGCAGCCATCAGGAGCGTTTCAGTATGGGGTGACGGAGCACAAGCAAGCCATTTCCCAGGCAGAGCAGTGCCGGGCCCTGAGCAGTACCCCCGGCACAGCTTCCCGCAGGCCCACGAAGGTCTCACAGGGGTGCAAAGTGCAGAGCCGGAAAGGGTGGGCGGGCAGATGGAGGGGGTCGATACCCAGTTCTCTGCTGGAGAGGTTACACCTGGCATTACAGACCCCGCAAGGCAACGAGCTGTCTCCCTCGGAAGCAGGTTGGATGACCTGCCTACCTTACCACCTTGGATTTAAACGCGTTTCTCACACGTTGGGCGTAGCTGCCAAGTATTGTGCCTTCCGTACATCACTCCACCTTGATTTCAAACCACTTTAGCTTGTGTTTGGGAGTGGTTTCCAAGCATTCAGCTCACCCATATCTTATCCACACTGGTTTCCTTTATGAGCTGCACCCACTACAGGTCCAGAGCTTTAAATGCAAACCCAAACAAATATGTGGTAGTGCTTCCCATTCCCACTGGGCTGGCCTGGAGTGGGAGTGGAGTGAGTCAGGAGTACCATAAAGGAAAGTGAAATAGATCCACCCTGAGCAGACGATAGGATCAGGACAGATTAGTAGCCTTGGATCAGATTCAAGGGTCAGCATAAATCTTTAATCTTTGCAAAGTCCTAGAGACTCCCTCCCCTACACTCTGTCTCGCATGCATACACACCAGGCATGACTAAACAGCTCTCTGCGGGGATGGCAGACACTTCAGAAACTCCCGGCTGGTTTTGGTTTGCAAAATAAAACAATAAAGCCGCTCTCTGTTCTTTAAACGTGAGAACTTCCCTATGCAGGCAGATCGCGACTGATGCAAGCCCTGCTCTCGAGATGCTGCCCGGGGACTGGTGTCGCACTGCGGCTGCCGCTCCTGCCAGCAACTGGGGGCTCTTTGCTGACAGGTCCCCCTCCAGTTTGCTCCGATCTCATGGTCAGACTGTAAAACACTCGCCTGCTTAATGCAGTCGGGTGAGAGCTAAGTACAACCCCGCGTTGCGTCTTGTTAGGTCCTGACAACACGATCTGCCAGGACATCATTGCTTACTATTCCTCTATATTTGCTCCCCACTGATGCTGTGCTTAGTGGACATAACCCGGGTAGTTCCCAGGTTTCACGTGGAGCTGCAAAAGTGGTTCGCTTGGGGTAATCGAGGTGGGGGAAACACCGGGCTGCCCTGGGAGAGGGCAGTCCCGTGGGGATGCGCTGGGCTCCGTGAGGAGCGGAGGGGCTGGAGGAGAGGCTTGTGCCAGCTTTGCACCCAACTGATGCACTAAGGGAAAAGAAAGAAAAAAAAACAAACCAGCAAAAAGCCCTGGCCTACTTTTTGTTTCACTGCGCTGGGCTCAGGCTCGAAGGATGTGGTTTGGTGGTCAGCGCATAAGACAGCAAATGAAAAAAAAAAATTCCTTTGATTTAATCCAGATCGGGTTTGTGCATGCTCTTCCTGCGGCCATCGGGAAATCACACAAGGGAAAACCCGGCCCACGCTGCCTGTGGCTGGGCGCTGAGGGACGTGGCGCAGGTCCCGTGGCGGCCCCGTCCTGCTCGGCGGGCTACATCCCGCTGAGCGAGGTCTCCCGCCCCGGCGCCTGGAGGACCTCAGCCCCCACCGGGGCTCCAGGACATCCATCTCCTCGCCACGCGGCAGGCTCCATCTCAAGCTTTCTTGATAGATTTATAACAATTCAAGTCACTTTCACCACCACTCTGTGCACAAAGGGCCAGGCAAGTTTTGTATAAGTGAATATTTATATATTCCCATAAACATTTTTAATGGGAAATTGCCTAATACGTCTTATTAAATGGAAAGCACGAGCAGTTGTCTGAGGGAGCCTGGCAGTGCTGCTGACGGTGAATGTGTCGGTGCTGCTGCACCTCGCAGCTGTAATCGTTTCAGGAATTCTTTGACTCATCTTCCGAGCGGCTCCAGGATGTGCAGGGAGATCTCGATCTTGCCGGTCTCTTTAAAAAACACCTTTGCCTCACTCCTGGGTTCAGAAAGCTTGTGTTGCAAATACCTCCTGACCTCAAGTGCCCAGGTGTTTGCCGGAGCCTGGCTGCAGCTGGAAAACCCTTCTGCTGTTAATGCCTCACCAGCATGCAGCAGCCGGGGCTCGTGCTCGTCACATGCGTGGCAGCGCCTGGCTTTGCCAGAGCAGGTGCCCGGCTGACCGCCGGCACGGCGTTCGCACCAGCGTGCCCTGCAAGCCCCAGCGTGCCACCACTTTCTGCGGGCACCAGGGATGAGCATTTGCTACCAGCCCTGGGAACAAGCCTCCGCCACCAGCCATCCCTCACCCCTGGCAAGCTCCTACCAGGTCCTGGGCAGCCCCATGCCTGCCCGGCTGTGCCATCCCCTCAGCCGGCAGCTCATGTTTGCTTTCCCAGGGCTGCAGAGAGACAGTGAAAACTTGACGTGTTCCTGAAGCGCAGGAAAGCCATCCCCACCGAGGTGTTGGGGTACGGCATGCCCCGGGGTACAGCCTCGGGGTCCTCAGTTCCCGCCTGGGGACCAGGGATGTCACCAAGCGCTGCAGTGCTGGGCTGCTCTGTTACTATGGGGACGAGCACCGCGGGGACGACAGGAATAAATGCAGAAAAAAATCCCCGGCAGCTTTGCTCTGAGGGCAGCAGCGGGGATCACTGGGGTGCTGTAACCTGCCCTCCCTCCCCGCCCCCTGCCCGG